AATTAATGCTGAGGATATGCTCTTTTTTTTCTATAGGGGAGATTGGTCTATAACGGGCCCCTCGGTTAAAACGGGCCCCACGATTGGCACGACACCAAGCGGATTTTTTCGGTGACTCTGAATACAAATAGAACCAGCTTAGTTTAATGAATATGCATGATTGTTTACATTGCGTTAATAATTGACAGGGTCTTGTAAAAACGTGTCGAATCAATTATATCAATTTCTCTTGTTTTATTTGACGTTACGAAATCACAGACCTACAAGTCATATCGTCATATCGAGTTACAAGGTAGGGCACTATTGCTTTTGTTTTTTTGTTACGATTACTCAGGAAATGAGCGATTTCATGTGTTTTTTATCGGAACGTTACAACATGAGGATTTTGTAATGGCCTTATCAGTGTCTAAAACGGGCCCGCTATGGGCCCATTTTAGACCAAAGGGCCCGTTTTAGACAGCTGATGCAGGCATTGACTTCTTAAGGTGGTTCATCACAAAATAAATGTGAATAAATTATTTTTTTTAAGAAAAATTATTTTCATCTTTTCTGATAGAAAATATTATTATTTTTTAGTTTTTTGAAAAAAATTCTACATTTTGTTTTGTATATTTTGTGATATTTAACTTTTTACCTAGGTATATTATCAAATAGTTCCTTAGCAACGCCTTAGTTACCGTTTTGAACAACTACAAACCTATCTAGTTCATACTATGAACTTCATATGTAATATTGTTTAATGAGAGGTCTTCAAATTATAAATTTGTCTGAATCTGTTATGTAAAATATAACTAAGTTTAAACTGCATTATGGGATATATCAACATAAAAAAGTCGTTTAAAAGTGTGCTTATTTAAATAAATTTGGTGTGTTATTAAAATAATTTCTTTTGATTTTCTTGTTGTTTTAAAGTAAATTAATGGTACTATTAATCAAGGGTGTATGTCTTTGAATGTTTCAAATTAATGTATAATCTACTATTATTACAGATTAATAGCACATTATGTAATTGTATTGTGCTTTGTTTCAGCTTCTTCAATAAAATGGGACGGTATAAAAGAACAACTGAAAGACAAACGTGGTCAGAGACAGGTATGGTCAAAGCAATTGAAGCATTACGTACAAAAACAATGGGATTAAAGAAAGCCTGTAAACTTTTCAGCGTACCCCGTTCAACACTTCAGCGGAGGTACAAGTCAACTCTAGCAAGTGGAGCAGCAGCTGCAAAAAGACTCGGCTCAAGGTGCAATGTATTCGATACGGAAACTGAACTGGAACTTGTTCAGCATATAAAAACCATGGAAAGTATGCTTTTTGGTTTCACACCTAAGCGCTTACGAAAACTCGCATATCAACTAGCGAAAAGTAACAATATCCATGAAAGATTCAGTTCTGTCAAAGAAGAAGCAGGTCTGGACTGGTATAGAGGATTTATGTCACGACATCCAGACCTGTCTTTAAGAATGCCAGAGCCAACTTCTTCGGCACGGGCACAAGGCTTCAACAAAGTTGTTGTTGACCAGTTTTTTGATTTGCTCACTGAGTTACAGACAAAGCACCACTATAGTCCAGACAGGGTATACAACTGTGACGAGACTGGTTTCACAACTGTGCCGAACAGACCTTCCAAGGTGATAGCAGCTCGAGGCAAGAAGCAAGTTGGCAGCTTGAGTTCGGCAGAACGTGGTCAGTTAGTGACAGTGGAAATATGCATGAGTGCATCAGGTAATTTCATCCCTCCTATGTTTGTGTTTCCGAGATGCCGAATGAAGCCTGAGTTACTTGATGCTGCACCACCAGGATCCATCGGTGTAGCCCATCCGTCTGGTTGGATGCAAACTGATTTGTTTCTGAAATGGTTTGAACATTTTGTATATCACAGTCATTCGTGTGCCGACTCACCAGTACTGTTGATCCTTGATGGACATAAAACCCACACCTTAAATCTTGATGTTATCAATCTTGCTCGTGAAAAGTGTGTTTCTCTCCTATGTTTACCACCTCATTGCAGCCATCGGCTACAACCATTAGACGTAAGCTTGATGAAACCACTCAGTACGTATTACACTCAAGAAGTTGAGAAGTGGTTACTTGTTCACCCAGATAGAATAGTGACTACTCTGCAATTACCTGCGCTCTTCCGAGAGGCTTATCTTCGTGCAGCCAGTGCTCTGACTGCAGTCAATGGGTTTAGAAAAACTGGTATATGGCCAATCAATCGTGATGTCTTTCAAGATGCAGACTTTGCTGCTTCATTGCCTACAGATATTCCAAGATTGGAACATGAAGCAACTGGCAGCAATACAGAGTTGGTTGCTGGTGAAGTTTCACCAACAGGCGAATATGTTGAACTCATTATAGAGAAAACTGGCATGCCTATTGAGATTCTTCAGATACCAGTGTTGCAGTCACAACCACTAATTCGGCATATTGGTGAAGGGGCATCTCAACCCACATCACACGAGTCAGGCATGGAGCAACTCGATGATGTTGATCAGTTAATTCTTCAGGTTATTTCTCCGATAACAATGGAGCTGACAGAAGGACAAGTTGGTGACATCGCCTCTCTACTTACATTAGTCGAGCCAGTTCTACAGCAACCCGGTGGCGGTGATGTTGATTCTTTAGTTTCTCCGACAACAATAGAGTTGATAGAGGCACAAGTTGGTGACAGTTCATCTTCACCAAGATTGGTCGAGCCAGTTCTGCAAAAACCCTGTGATGCTGACGGTGTCGGTTTAAATACACCAACAGCTGTTGGTTGTCGAAACGCTCTTGAACATAAACCTAAAGTCCGTGTTTTGCAAATTTCGCCTTTACCAAAAGTGGAAGTGGGCAGCATTCGCAAAACATCGAAATCGAAAGGTAAAACTGCTATTTTGACTGCCAGTCCTTACAAGCAAGGCTTAGAAACAAAAAAGCGTTTGGCTGAAGAGAAGATAGCTGCAATGGAGGCTAAAAAAGTGAAAAAAGCTCTTGCGGCAGCAGAAAAAAACAAGAAGACTAGCAAAACGAAAGAAAAGAAGCCTAAATCTGCACTAAATACAAACCAAAAAAGAGGAGTGAAACAGACTGGGCCTATCCAATCAGTTTGTCCAGAATGTGGAATCATGGAAAAATCTGTCGAGGATAAGGTGAAGGCGTGTGACTGGATTTCATGCAAAACCTGTCTGACATGTTACCATGAATCGTGTGCAGAAGTGAATGGAGTATTTGATGACGATTACTTTTTATGTGTTCAATGTTGTGAGTAGCACCACATGCTACTCGTTTGAACGTGAACTTTCTATTGCTAACTGTTCATCATGAATAGATCTAACTGTAAAACCTATTCACGAAGCTGCAGAAGTGAAATGTATTCATCGTTATTAATAGCTTAATAGTTAGTTTTTGTGTTGAAATGATGAGTTGTTTATTGTTCAGATCTTGCTATTGCATGATAGTATCCTGATAGCGTAGACGCAAAATTAACAAGTTATCATTTGAATAATGTTCTGATCTGATTTTGTCACTGACAGAGCACAAGGTTAAAACGGGCCCGGGGCCCATCTTAACCTGGCCAGTTAAAATGGGCCCGGGCCCGTTTTAGGCTTAGCTATGGGATAAAATGGGCCCCTAATCACAAGTTTTAAAAGTATGATTAATTAATTAGTTTGTTATATTAATCCAACTGATTATGACCCATTAATTACATTGTCATCTAAGTTATGCTATTCTTGCATTAGGCATTCAATACTGGTATCTATATCGGGAAAAAATGAACTTCTATGCTAAGGGGCCCGTATTAGACCACGCTCCCCTACTATTCTTTTTTTTAAGTTTTTTAATTATCTATGCACCTGCTAAATTTCATTGAAAAATATTTTGTAGCAGAGTGTCTATTTTTTGTCTCACTTTTTTTACCTAATTTTCACTCGCCTGAAATGGTCATGGGAGACAGAGGGGTTAAATTAACATTTTTTAATATTTGATTTAGATAAAATAAAATTTTTACTAAAAATGGAAAATAATAATAGAGATAAAGATTTTCAATATTGTTTTCTATTTAATTTCTAATAATTTTTAAAATAAAATTATTAGACAGTATTATGTTTTTTACTTCTTTGTTGTTGTACTTCAAATAACCAATTAGTTATTTCATTTTTATATTTATTTTTTTATATTTGGATGTCATCAAAACATTTACCATGAGTTTTACATTCACCTTCCATGTTAAGTGGTTGTCTGGTATTAATTTATAGATACTAGGGTGTATCAAACCAATAAATACCACACCCAACTCCATCTTTAACATAATTTGGTGGTTTTATATAAATTTATAACAACATTTTTGTAAATTTGAACTATTTATGTCTTGAAAAAATACTTTCCAAAAAAAATGTTCAATTTCCTATGGTAAAGGTGGTGGTTTGTTGCGCCCTTTATCCCCCTGGATATACCTAGTGTTTAGTGGTCAATATAAATTTGCAGCTCACTCTTACACCTATTTTTTGATATTAAGATATTTGTATTTCAATAAGAATTGACAAAGTTGTCATAACTTTGTTGTTATTTACATTTTAAAAAACTTAATTGTGACCACAGCTTTTTCAACAAATCCATATATATCGGGAAAATGGTACTTAAACCATGGTACATAACTTTTGAAGGAATAGTTTGATTTTGATAATTTCACCTTTAAATTACTGTATTGATCCTCTTTCCAATAATATAACAGTATAACATTTAAGCAGTTTAAAATTTTTACTCGCGTACCTACACAATATTACATTTTATTTTGTTTTCTGTACACAAAATAAAGTTTTTCAATTGAATTTAATACAGAGTTTTGTTTATTCTAGTTCCAAATGTAAAATTAGAACATATAACAAAGCAATATCAATTTTTTTGTATCAATATAAAAATATGTCACTGTTTGCCATATTATTAGATTCGACATGAAAAACTGCCATATTTATTATTAGACTCTGATTATAATAAACTAAATATCAAATAAATACCTTAATTTTATCAAATGTTGATAGCTTAAGCTCTGAAATGAAAGGATTATGAACAGGAGGCTTCTCTCTTGCTTTCTTTAAACCAGGAACTAATTGCAATAACTTCTCATCAAGCTCATAAAGCGTAAAAGCATGATCAAGTTTTAAACTTTTGTCCTTCATTCATGTAAACTTTATCCTTCAACTTGTTGAATATGTTTTCGGATTGATCTTATTACAATGTAAAGTAGTTTTTAAATTTCTTATACTGTGGAGTAAACTATTTTTTTAAACTAAATAAAATTAACTTTATATAATGACAAAAAAAGTCGGAACAAAATTTTTCGTTTTTTCAATAAAAAGCGTATTTATTTAAAAAAAAATTATAAAAATCTTTATTTAAAAAAAAAAATTAATCTTAATCTTTATTTAAAAAAAAATTATAAAAATACAAGAATTTTACACACTAAATAAACATAGCAATCTATATTATTTTTGAATACTTGTCATTATACAAACTGAATCTAAAGTCAACATAAAAACAAAAACTGTGTAAGGCCTCAAGCGGCTGTTGGCTTGACAACACTTTATTTGTCAAGTAATTGACAGACTTATTTACTTCACTTTATCAATAATATATAGGTGACATATAATGCTAAATCTACTCCCCCCCCCCCTACCTTCTTCAGCTATCCTCTTTTTCAACCCCTCCACCCGAACTTTGGACAAAATGGATGTATTATTGTAAGTAACAGGAACTTTTTTATATTTGTTTTCTTTTTTTGAAAAAAGCTATTATTAGGATTATTTGCACGCGCGCAAGGATTATTTGCACGCGCGTACAGCTATTTTTTTTTTTTTTTTTTTTTTTTTTTTTTTTTTGCCAAATAATTTTTTTAATAATACAAATTTTAACATATTACAAATTTAGTGGCAGGACTTCTAGAAGATCATGAGGATCTTATCATCAAGCCCTTTACAATGCATTTTAGTATCGAGTATAATATAATATAAATACGTAATATTATAATGAAGTTATAAAAATTCGTAAAATAACAAAGATAATATGAAGTTTAACAAAACACAGTAATAAAAAGTAATAAAATACAAACCATTAAATACATAAGTTTGCAAAGAACTCATGGAAATATTCGTAAATAGTAAAACATAATACAATAAAGTATAATATATCAGAAATAAATTGATAAAAACTCAAAAATAGATAAAGATGTTTTCAATTGAAAAGATAATTTCTTTAATTTTGGTTTTGAATGAGGAGTAGTTTAGTTTTATTGAAAAGTCAAAATTAGGTAAAACTATTTTTTTCCAAAGAAGAGGTCCACGATAGGACATACAAAATTCATCGTATTTAGTTTTGCAAAAAGGAGCATTAAGATTGTTGTCAATTCGTAAATTATATTTGTTTTTCGGTTTTAAAGAATAAAGATATTGAAATTTTTTAAATAAAATTGTACCCGCGAATTGATCTTTTTGATCCAGTTTTACCAGTAGCTTAGCGACAAAAAATAGGCCTCCCGCAAATTTTTAATCCAGGCCCCTAAATTACTTCTCCCCCTAACAAGTGTAGCTATTTGCGAAAAAGCTGATCTTAAGTGCACGCTCACAAACATTGAACAACTTAACAAAAACACCATTGAACAGATATGGATAAAGCTGAAACTCAAAAATGAATCACTCCTTTTAGGGTGTATCTACCGACCACCAAATAACGATGAACTTGCGCTCCTAGAAATCACCAAATCAATTCAGACTGCTACAAAGGCCCTCAAAACAATCGGTTGCAACTCCTCACTACTTTATGGTGATTTTAATTTCAGACACATTAGCTATGAAAGTATTAACGTTGGAGGAGGTGTTTCGACAGCAGTCAACATACTGATCAACAGCTTACCTGTCATTAAGTTCAAGTCTTGTTTAGAGGAAAACCATCTTACGCAACTTGTCACTTTCCCAACCTTTCGAAATTCACGTTTTAAAGAACCGAAGTCCATCTTGGACTTAGTTTTAACCAATGAGCCAGACAGAATAATTTTCTTAACTCAAGCTGAACCTTTGGGATCTACCCCCGAGGGACAAGCTCACCTAACTATTGTAGGTTCATTCGCAGCAACAATAACAAACAATGAACCACCTATAATTTCTCAATTAGTGTGGAGCAAGGCAAACTATACATCTATCTCGAACTATATTAAAAGTTATGATTGGGAGATATTATTCAAAAGTACATCAGAGGCCGAAAAATACAAACTTTTAATTGAAAAATATAATGAAGCTACTTCACTCTACATACCAAGTACCACAAAACCATACCAGCCAAAAAAAAATCCATGGGTTAGAAGTGAGGTCATAGAAGCTGTAAAAAACAAGAGTAAACTCTGGGGTAAATATGTATCAGCAGGACCAGGGACGCACCAACTTATCAGAGCAGAATATAGCAAAGCAGCAAAAACCGTCTCAAAAGTTGTGAAAAAAGCAAAAAATTGACTATCAGGAGGCATTAACTTCTTCGTTTAAAAATAACCCAAAGGGACTAAACTCGTATGTGAAAAGCAAAATCAAAGTCCATGATAAAATCTATTTACTTGAAGACAGCAATAGATCGGTGACCGATAACATATTTAACATATGTAAGACATTGAATGATTATTTTTATGCTGTATTTGAAGTAGAGCCGCAAGGACCTCTGCCAAGTTTTTTAATCCGATCTCCTGTCACTTGCGACAGCAGAATCGATTTCATCAAATATGAAGTCAAAAACAGACTGCTTAAACTTGATCCTTCAAAAGCAATAGGTCCTGATGGAATCCATCCTAGAGTCTTAAAAAATTGCCCAGAAGCTTTTTCAATACCTTTAACCATGTTATTTAAATCTTCTATTTTAACATCCTTTGTTCCAGATCAATGGAGATAAGCAGAAGTAACACCTATTTTCAAAAAAGGAAATAAGTTAAAAGCAAGCAACTACCAGCCCGTTTCCAAAACCTCGGTACCCTGTAAGGTGTTGGAAGGTTTAATCCACAATTTAATTATGCAGCACTGCGTCAAAAACAACCTTATTACCCCAGCTCAGCATGGCTTCGTCAAACACAAGGGGTGTGCAACAAACCTATTAGAATTGCGGGATATTGTTACTGACGCCATCAATCAGGGATTTACGGCAGACGTAATTTATACAGAGTTTTCAAAAGCGTTCGATAAGGTACCGCACGAAAAACTCTTATACAAACTAAAGGCTTATGGTATTCACGGTCAACTACATAACTGGATAAGAAATTGGCTAACAAATAGAAAACAACGTGTCAAAATAGATGATACATTGTCTCCATGGAAAAAAGTGTTTAGCGGAGTCCCTCAGGGTTCGGTTTTAGGACCGCTCCTTTTTGTGCTCTATATTAACGATTTACCGGACTTAATTTTGAATCATATAAAAATGTGTGCAGACGACAGCAAGATCATAGGTGTTATCAAGTCAGAAAGAGATGCACTATGTCTTCAAAAGGATCTTGACTCTGCTGTAAACTGGTCCAAAAATTGGCTTATGCTATTTAACATTGAAAAATGCAAAGTTATGCACATGGGCAAAAAAAAAATAATAAGCCAAACTATTTGTATACAATGGAATCACAAAATGGTCATCGCAAACAACTCAAAACCACAACAAAAGAATGCAATTTGGGAGTTATAGTTTCCAATAACCTTAAAGTGAAATTACAAGCTGAACACGCAACTGCAGCTGGAAATAGAGTGCTAGGGAAATTTAAAAAGGGATTCAGAAGTCGTGGTTTTGGCGTTTTTTATATACTACCTATAAGACCATTATTAGAATTTGCTGCCCCAGCGTGGTCTCCTCATTTTATAGGAGATATAAACACAATTGAAAAAATTCAGCATCAAACAACGAAATTGATCAGGTCAATAAGTAATCTAAAATACGAGGAACGTTTAACACGGCTTAATCTGACTACTCTTGAAACTCGCCGCATGCGTATTGATCTTATACAGCAGTACAAAATAGTTAATAGAATTGATTCAATCAATTTTGTGTTGCCACAAACTACACCAGCCTATCGAGGATCTAAATACATTTTAAGAACTAGGAGCCATGCCTTTGAACTAGCCGCTGAAAAAATATTGAAGCATGAAGAAAGACGTACTTTTTTCACTAACCGAGTAGTTAAAAACTGGAACTCCTTAACAACTACTACAGTAAATGCACCATCACTCAATTGTTTTAAATGTAGACTTCGATAGTACGATTTATTCATGCAATATGGCTGGCGCAGCTATAATTGCAAATACTGTCAGAAAAAAGGGGTTTTTGTCAGCCTCTCTCCGTCAATAATTAGAATATGTAGTTTAGATAAATTCGTACCACAAACTGTTTTTATTGTGCGATTTTAATAAAATTGTAAATAATTATTGATTACTGAATAAATATACAATACAACACCGCCACTTCACCCCCACCCCCCACCCCCACCCCTACCCCCCTCAAAACAAGAAAACATTATATATGAAAACAAAAGCTTTTAATTCAATTTTGATTTAATTTAATGGAAAACAAGTATGTTACATATTGTATAGCTAGGAATTGGTAATTCTTAGCCATACAATAATAACAAAAATGTGATTAAATATATTTGAAAAATTTGGCTTGAGTCCCTAATAAGTTTGGCCCGCGGCTGCGGGCCCATCGCTACGCTTCTGAGTTTTACATATAAATATTAAAAGAACGCAGCAAAATAAAAAGCTTAAAAAACTTGTAAATATTATAAACGACACGTTAGATGTCATATCGCTTTTAGAGACTTGGCACGATTCAAAAATTCTCATAAACTGTGACGCACTTAACCAAAATTTTTTTTTATCGTCGACGAAATGATAAATCATATCGTTTGAATCTTTGATTAAAATTATTATTGTAAAAAAAAAATAAAAAAATCTAAACTTTGTATGTTGTTTGTAACATTAATCTTAAACTTATCGAAAATTTCCAAAAGTAAAACCTTTTTTTTTTTTTTTTTTTTTTAATTTTTAGGTCAAAAAGCATACCGTTAATATGCTTTTTAAATATAATGTCTTGTCAGTTCTGGCAGAAAAATTTTTTGTTCCTATAGTATGGCATTTTTAGGTAATGTGCACACTCCAAATTTAAATTTATATATGCTCAATTCAAATGAGAATACAGAAAACGGTAAAAATCGCTAAAATGTTTGCTGCACCTCTCCAAATGTGAAGAATCTGAGTTAATAAAATGTTTAGTATTACTACCTTAAACCCAATAGGGTACGTT